ATGTGCAATTGCAAGTTAATTGCACTAATGTAGGTACAATGAAAGTCAAGTGCGTTGGCTTACAAAAATGGTGTTGTGTCAAAAAATATCACAAATGCAATTGCACCAATGTTGATGCTCTTATTATTATTATTATTATTATTATTATTATTATTATTATTATTCATGAGAAGGTAAAAAAATAGACTTGCTCTCACTGCTCTCTCTTCTTTTCTCTCTCTTTTCTCTCCGAATATCTAGGGTTTCGATCGCAGCTGCTTTAGGTTGCTCCCGAGAATCGACTTAAGTTTCGTCCTCCAGAGAAAGTGCAGGATGGGTATCGTCTTCCAAAGGAGGTGAAAGAGAAGGGTGTTGAGCGGTGGAAGGATTCTTTGATTGGCCAATTTGTAGGAGGCCATCCAAAGATCCCTGCTCTTTAGACATGGGCGAACAGGTTATGGAGGAGAGATGGTCTAGTGCGAGTGTCTAAGTTTGGGCCGAAGCTCATTCTGTTTCACTTTCCATCGTCGGCTTCGTGCAATTGGGTGTTTCAACCGGGTCCATGGCATCATTAGGGTAACCCTATTTTCTTCAGAAAGTGGCACTCGGGGATTTAGCCGCTGTCTCCGCAGGTAGAAACTCTTCCGATTTGGGTTAAGATATGGGGGTTGCATCTGGAATATGTAGCACTGGAAGGTCTGGAATGGGTGACGAGCACAATGGGTCGACCTTTATTGATGGATCAGAAGACTAGAGTTGGGGGTCAGCTGGGTTTTTCTCGTGCATGTATTGAATTGAAGGCAAATTTTGGGTTCCCCTCCAAAATCAAATTCTATCCGGACGATGATCCGAGCTTTGAAATGGAAGTTGAGTATAGCAATCTGCAGCCTGTGTGTGCGAAGTGTGGTATTTTTGGTCACAATTGTGATTCGATTTCGGGTCCAAAGAGGGTGTGAATTCCTAAGAAGACTTTAGTAGTTGAAGTTGAGGAAGATGCAACTGTGGATGAGGTGATTCAGGATCAGCCTCACTCAGAGGAGGTTTTTTGTGATGCGTTAACTGATGAGGTGCAGGTTGTGGCTGAGGTAGAAAGTGTCCAAGAGGTTGATCACTCCATTCCTAATCAAGTAGGGAGTCCTCCACTGAGTTTTGCTCAGGTAGTCAGAGGGTCACCATCTGCTGGGAGCCCTGTGACAACTGAACAGTTGGCTAAATCTAACGAGTCATCATCGACTAAGGATGGGAGCTCTAAGATTCAGTCGCCTCATGGAGGGAACGAGAGTGGGAAATCTACTGCTAGCAAGGATGTACATACTCCAAAGATTGATAAAGGAAAGCAAATTTGGGTAGAGGACCCTCAGGAGACATTTCAAGTGGTGAAAAAAGGGGGGAAGGGTGGTAAGGGTAAGAAACGAAAGTAATGAAGATACTTACCTGGAATACTAGAGGTTTTGTAGCTGATAGTAAGTATTTAGATTTATTTAGAAAGATAAATAAGTATAATCTTAGTATAGTAGCTAAACTTGAGCCGAGAATTATAAGAAAAGAAGAGAAAAAGCTTGTGAATAAGAGGTTTCTGGATTGGGAGAATGAGATTACCTACAACTCTGCTGGTTGGGGAAATTTTGGCTGATTTGGAGGAATGATATTTCTCTGAGAATCTTGCACTCTATTGATCAGTTCATACATGTTCTAATTAACTCTGCTGTACCTTTCTTTGAGACTTTTGTGTATGCATCGAATGAGGAAAATGATAGAAGGAAGTTGTTTGACGATTTGAGGAAGCTTAGAGTCCAGGGTCTTCCTTGGATGATATCTAGAGACTTCAATGTGATTCGGTGTCTTGCTGAATCTTCAAACGTTACACCTTATAGTACCAGTATGAAGGATTTTGAAAGTTGGATCCTAGAGTTAGAACTTGAAGATCATCAAGCCACGGGTCCATGGTTCACTTGGCTAAACAAGCAAGATGCTCGTCCAATAGCGAAAAAGCTCGATCGAGTATTGGTAAATTTTGACTGGTTGGATAAGATGATGGAGAGTTCAGTTCATTTCCAGCAGCCAGGAATTTCAGATCATTGTCCGAGTTTGGTAGATATTAAGGCTGTAAAGCAATCTCTGCCTAAGCCGTTTAAGTTCTTTCGTTTCTGGATCAGGCACCCTAAGTTTGATGAGTTACTAAGGAAGGCGTGGGAGAGCAGGGTATCAGGGCCACCAATGAAAAAGGTTTATAAGAAGTTGCGCATCCTTAAGAAGCTGCTGAAGGAACTAAATCGTGAGGAATTCTCTGAAAATAGAGAGAGGGTGAAGGTTAAGGAGGCTGAACTTGAATTAATACAGCGTGAAGCTCTATATGTTCCATCAAGTGAGAATTTTGAGAGGGGGTCCATTGTGTCTAGGGAGTTGTATGAGCTACTCCAGCAGGCTGAAGAATCGTTCTTAAGACATAAGTCTAGGGATCTCTGACTTAAAGGGGGCGACTCTAATACTCCATATTTTCATAGATCTCTGAAAACCATGTAATGGAGGAATATGATAACTATGCTTAAGGATTATGAGGGGAATAAGGTCACTGACTTACAAGGTATGGGAGATATTGCTGAAGGTTTCTATAAACGTTTACTAGGGAGAAAAGATCCTGATGTGATTGATGAACCTGATGAGTTCTACTATGCACTCATAAGGAAGACTATAATTAGTGGTGATGGTCTTTGTGCTTCTGTTACGGAGGATGAGGTCAAAAGTGTTGTATTTGCCATGAATGGAGACAAAAGTCCAGGGCCTGATGGATATTCTGCAACATTCTTCCAACATGCTTGACTAGTGATAGGGGCAGAGGTAACGTTTGCTATTCAAACTTGCTTTTCTAAGAGTAAGATGCCTAGAGAAGTGAATGCTACAATTTTAACTCTTGTTCCTAAGATTCAGAATCCTAATGAAATGAGGTTTTTTAGACCAATCTCCTGTTGTAATATTATTTATAAAGTCATCGCTAAAATCATTGCAAATATACTTCGAGTTCATTTGCCACATCTTATTAGTCTGAATCAAACCGCTTTCATAAAAGGAAGATCAATTGGGGATAACATTCTGCTTGCACATGAACTTGTTCACAAGTATGTCTAGAAAAAATGTTTCTCCTAGATGTGCACTTAAAATTGATTTAATGAAAACCTTTGATTCAGTTGACTGACTCTTCATTTTCAAAGTATTGAAGCATATGGGGTTTCCAGAACAATTCATTAGTTGGATTAGGATGTGTGTGAGTACTCCTATGCTAAGTGTGGGGCTCAATGGAGGGTTAGTGGGTTATTTCCCTGCTTGTAAGGGGTCCAGACAAGGTTGTCCTCTCTCCCCGTACCTGTTTGTGATTGCCATGGAGATTTTTTCCTGTATGCTTGATAAAGAGGCACATAAGGTTTTTTTCCCCCTTTCCATCCAATGTGTAAGAGGATTGGTATAACTCACCTATGCTTTGTTGATGATCTTCTTGTCTTCTCTGATGGTTCAAACTACGGTTTTCAAAGATTGATAGAGATCCTTGCTCGGTTTAGAAAGCTTTCTGGTTTCCAAGTTAACCCAAGTAAATGTGAACTATTCTTTGGGGGGCTTCCTGGTCCTGAACAGAAAGTGAGGGCTGCTAGATATGGGTTTGCATTGAGAAAGTTCCCTGTAAGGTATCTTGGGGTTCCCCTTTCCTCGGGGAAGCTCATTGTTTCAGCATGTAAACCTTTAATAGATAAGATTGTTGCTTGGATAAGTAGCTGGAAGTCTCGATTTCTATCATATGTTGGTCGGGTTGAGCTTGTTAGATCAGTTCTATATAGCTTGCATAAGTATTGGATGGCTGTTTTTATTCTTCCAGAGGCAGTGATTCGAGAAGTGAAAGGTATATGCAGCAACTTCATATGGGGTGTTGGACAAGGAGGCAGAATGAAAGCAAAGATAGGCTGGAAGCATCTCACTTTCCCCCAAGCAGGAGGGGGGGGGGGCTGGGTTTGCGAGATTTGGAAACTTGGAACATTGCTTGTGTCACTCGACATATCTGGCTTCTGTTGATTCAACATGGTTCTTTGTGGATTGCATGGATCAGTGTTTACAAACTGAAAGGCCAAGACTTTTGGCTTTATGCTGGTAACTCAGGTTCATGGAATTGGAAACGTATTATGAAAACGAGGCTGAAAGTATGTGATTTCTTCCATCAGCAAGGGCATGATGTTTACTGGGACCAGGAACGAATGTAGACTTTTTCCATTAGGAGAATTTGGGAGACTCTCAGGCCGAAAAGGCAGAAAGTAGCATGGTCTAAACTTTTATGGAAGGGTAGCTCCATTCCTCAAAACAGGTTTATTGATTGGTTGATTAAAATTAGAGCGGTAACTACTAAAGAATAGATGTTGAAATGGGAATTTGATGGTAGTTTGGAATGTGTGTATTGTAACTGTTCGCTAGAAACTACTGATCATTTATTTGCAGCTTGCCCGATGTATAGGAAAATGGCTTGCAAGCTGTTTGGAAGAGGTTCAGGGGGTGTTTACCTATTTGGGAAGCGAGCTTGCTTGGTTGCAGCATTGTTTTGGTTCTCACACAGTGAAGTCCCAGGTTGGGAGAGCTATATGGCAAAGCTTGGTGAGTGTGTTATGGAGAGAAAGGTGCAGCAGAGTTTATGCAGGTCAATGCAGGGATTGTGATGTGTTGTGCAGTGTTATAAGGGATGAAGTTATAGGGCTATTTGGAAGTTCAATATTTGATTCCTTTTGTGTTTAGTAGAGATTGTAGGTTGTGATTGGTTACGCCAAAGTTGTTCCCTAACTAGCAAGGATGTTACTAGTGTTGCTTTTGATGAAATGAAAGATACCCGATTCATAAAAAAAAGTTAACAAATAAACTTTTTCGCCTTTTCATCCTCGCCGACTTACCGTCATTATTTTCTTTTTGGTGGGGAAAATATTTTATATATTTCTTCTCTCCCTTCTCGCTCCGTTCTATATAAATTACTGGAGACTCGAGAGACGAAACAAAAAGGCAAAATAAAAATACGAGGAAAATTCAGCTCCAGGAATCTCTCTCCGTTTCTTCTCCCCATCGCTCTCGTCGTCTTGGCAAATCTCCCCGCCCAGCCTTAGGGTTTCTCCCAGATTGACCACCCCCTCCGCTGCATTGTCTGCTTCCTTGCTTCGGTGTTCATCTGGTAATCCTATGGTCGACCACTATTTCTGATCCTCTTTCAGTTCCATCCCCCGCCCATCGATTCCTAGGGTTTATTTCGAAGTTTTCTTTTTCCGGTCTCTTCGTTTTCGTTCGCGCGCATTGCTACGATCGTGATTTTGCTGGGTGGAGAATTCTTGTGCGTAGCGGAGTACTTGCTACTGCTTCGTGTTTTCACTTCGCTGCAATTACATCTTCGCGTTTTCGAGTTTGTGGAATCTGTACTTTCAAATTGTTACATCGATTACTGCTTAGTTTTGGGATTCTAGGGTTTCTCACCCAACTCACTGGTGGATTGTGTATTCTTCTGAATTTGGTTCGTTTCGACTGGATTTTGGGGGGTTTTCGATTCAATCTGTTAGTCCGCTGGCTTCTCTTGCTGCATATATGATCGGTTTCTTCATGACTACCCATTCGTGATTGAACGATGCTAAGCTGATGTATTTGGGCACTGTTTTTGGTTTGTATTTATTGATATGGGTATAGTTAGGGTTTTGATTCCTTTTGGTTCCATGTTTTCATTGGCAGAAGTTGGGCCTTACAATGGAGCGTAAGGTGATTGAACTGGACCAGGGATGGGACTACATGCAGAAGGGGATCACGAAACTGAAGAGGATTCTGGAGGGATCGGTTGAGCAATTCAACTCCGAGGAATATATGATGCTTTACACGTAGGGTTTCCTTGTTTATTCAACTGCACCTTTTAATAAAAAGCATTGTACTCTTTGCACTGTCTAATACCCAATTCAATGGCACAGAACTATCTACAATATGTGTACACAGAAGCCACCTCATGATTACTCTCAGCAGCTTTATGATAAGTATAAGGATTCGTTTGAAGAGTACATTAGTTCCACTGTGAGTACTATGTTTGGTTCTGTCGTTGGATCTTTTCACACACTCATTATGTATGGCTTGCTTCCTTCATGAAGATGTAAGGTGAGGTGATTTTGGGGGAGGGATGTGATACTTTCTTGTCTGTTTGTTAGGTACTGCCAGCTATCAGGGAGAAGCATGACGAGTTTATGCTGAGGGAACTTGTGAAAAGATGGGGCAATCATAAACTTATGGTTAGGTGGCTGTCTCGGTTCTTCCATTATCTTGATCGTTACTTCATTGCTCGGAGGTCACTTCCAGCACTTAATGAAGTTGGCCTTACCTGCTTCCGATCTCTGGTTTGTCTATTACTAATCTATACTACAGGCTTTCTTTATAGTGATCAGGCTTTACTTTTCCAACAAGTTTTTTTTATGTTTATACTCTAATTAAATTTCCTTAATTCAGGTCTACACCGAAATAAGTGCCAAAGCGAGAAATGCTGTCATTGTTCTTGTGAGTTAATCATGCTCGTGACTCGCTTTCTGTTACTCAGTTCTTTCGACAGAATTTTGACACTTTTGTATCCTGATCCAGATTGATAAGGAGCGCGAGGGAGAGCAAATTGACAAAGCTCTGTTGAAGAATGTCTTGGACATTTTTGTTGAGATTGGAATGGGGCAGATGGATTGCTATGAGCAAGATTTTGAGGCTCCTATGCTCGAAGATACAGGCGTGTACTACAGCCACAAGGCTTCAAGCTGGATTCTGGATGACTCTTGTCCAGCATACATGTTGAAGGTATAACTTCGCGTTTTGGGACATTACAAGTCGTTTCTACAATTAATCCTGTTATAACAAGGAAATGTTGGATTGCAGTCTGAGGAATGCTTGAAGAAGGAAAGAGACAGAGTTGCACATTACCTGCACTCTAGCAGCGAGGCAAAATTAGTAGAGGTTAGTTCAATTTCAAACTATTTTTAGGGGGATTTTTTTTTTTTACTTCGTATTGCTAAATCAATGCACTGGCTAAGTATTATTAAAACGCCATGAATTCAGCACTTGTTGGTACAGTATGTTCAAAGTTGTTGCTTCTGATGCAGAAAGTACAACATGAACTGCTAGTGAACTTCTCCACTCAGTTGCTTGAGAAGGAGAATTCTGGGTGCCGTGCTTTGCTTAGGGATGACAAGGTGGATGACCTTTCTCGGATGTATAGGCTTTATCATAAGATACCTAAAGGCCTAGATCCTGTTGCGACCATATTCAAGCAGGTTGGCTATTGAATGTTATTGTCATCTTGCTGAGAGGCCCTCTTTACCCTGGTACTGATTATGTATTTTTCACAGCACATTACTGCTGAAGGAATGCTACTGGTACAGCAGGCTGAAGATGCTGCGAGTAACCAGGTCATTCTTTGCTTTGATTATTTTAAACCCAATGTTATCTTTTCTCCTTACTTGGTTGTAATTATTTAATGCACATTTCTAAAAGGGATTAGTACCTTAAGATTTAGTTTCTAATCTTATACTCTTCAAATTTCATTTGTCTGATCTGAAATTTGTGTTGATGCATTGTGTCTTCTGCAGTCCACAAGTGGTGTTGTCCAAGAACAGGTAAATATCTCCAGTTGTGTGCCCACCTTTCTTTTTGCTCAACTCTTTTGCTGATTTCTATTCTTTGATTCCCAGGTGCTGATAAGGAAGGTGATTGAGCTCCATGATAAGTATCTAGCTTATGTGAGCGATTGTTTCCAGAACCATACGCTGTTTCACAAGGTTAGTGATCCATCCATGTGTGAATGCGTCTGTCATATTGCTGCATCTTAGCTGCCCCACCCTTTCATTTATTGTTTTTACCTGGTTAATAGGCCATGAAAGAGGCTTTTGAAATCTTCTGCAACAAAACTGTTGGTGGAAGTCCTAGTGCTGAACTTTTGGCAACATTCTGTGATAACATCCTCAAGAAAGGAGGTAGCGAGAAACTTAGCGATGAAGCTATTGAGGACATATTGGAGAAGGTTAGCCTAGTTTTGTTGGCACTCGAATTAATTTGCTTCATATTCTGTGGTAATGTTTTGTGGCTAATAAACCAAGTAAAATTTGCAGGTTGTCAAGCTGCTTGCATATATTAGTGATAAGGACTTGTTTGCTGAATTCTACAGGTATTTGTTTATGGATCAAGTTTTAGCGAGTTATTATTATAATTTCTCTTGCTGATTATTTCTTAATAGATAGTTTATTTGCCATCCCAGTTCCTCTGCATCAGTCATACTTAATAGTCCTATTGTTAATTATGGCAGGAAAAAGCTTGCCCGTCGGCTGCTCTTTGAACGTAGTGCTAATGAGGAGCATGAGAAGAGCATTCTGACGAAGCTTAAGCAGCAATGTGGTGGACAATTCACTTCAAAGATGGAAGGAATGGTAATTGTCCATGCGAAGTTAATTCTGCATTGCCCCATGAATATCGTCGCCTTTGCATATTTTGATTGATGTCCTCTTACTTTTAGGTCACTGATTTGACACTGGCAAAGGATAATCAGAATGAGTTCGAGAACTATCTTTCTAATAACCCAAATGCCCATCCTGGTATTGACTTGTCAGTCAATGTTCTTACAACTGGATTCTGGCCAAGCTACAAGTCTTCTGATTTGAACCTTCCTTCGGAGATGGTAATGTGGTGTTTTCCCCACTTAATGTAGTGTATAGTAACTGAGGTCCCTCCTGCATGTTATTGATTCTCTCTTGTTGCATTATAGGTTAGGGGTGTTCAAGTGTTCAAGGAGTTCTATGACACTAAAAGTAAGCATAGGAAGCTAACATGGATTTACTCCCTTGGATCTTGTCAACTTATTGGCAACTTTGAAGCCAAAAAAATTGAGATGGTTGTCTCTACTTATCAGGTACTCTGAATGTCTAATTGGAAGTGTTGGAAGTTGCAGAAATGTTGCCAGAACACATAATTTACTTCATTATTTCTGCAGGCTGCCATACTTCTACTGTTTAACACCTCAGACAGACTCAGCTACTCTGAGATTATGACTCAGTCAAACTTGGGTCATGAAGACTTAGTGAGATTGCTGCATTCTCTGTCATGTGCCAAATACAAAATCCTTATTAAGGAACCAATTTCAAAGACCGTTTCTCCGAACGACATCTTTGAGTTCAACCCCAAGTTCACCGACAGAATGAGGAGGATCAAGGTATTTTCACTTGCTTTATGCTCTCAACTTCAACCACCTCAAAAAAGGAATTGCTGTGGTATTCATTGTTGCACTTCCAGATGCATTTTCCATGTTTAGTGGAACAAACATAGCTTATGGAAGAACACTGTTTGACTTTGCAGATTCCACTTCCAGTTGTGGATGAAAGGAAGAAGGTTGTTGAAGATGTCGACAAGGACAGGCGATATGCAATAGATGCAGCAATTGTGCGCATAATGAAGAGCAGGAAAGTTCTGGGTCATCAGCAGTTGGTCTCGGAGTGCGTGGAGCAGCTCAGCCGCATGTTCAAGGTAATGTTAATAAACACCCTCTATACAATACAAAATACAACAGAGGGCTGATTCAGTATCACCACTCGAAGCATGGTGGCACTTATTAAGCCTTGCGTCTCTGTTCTTGCTGTATGATTTTGTTTTCTGAATTGGGGTGTCTATCTGCAGCCGGACATCAAAGCTATCAAGAAGCGGATGGAAGACTTGATTGCTCGAGACTACTTGGAGAGGGACAAGGAGAACGCGAACCTGTTTAGGTATCTTGCTTAAATCGCGGCAGCTGATCAGCAGCATCTTTGCTGGGAGACTATGAAGAAGTGAGAGGGATGGATAAGGGAACAGGCGAGGGAGCGCTGAACAATGGTTCATATATAGTTGAATTGAAGATTGACTTGTTCTTAGTTACCCAAAAAATTGCTTGATGTAAATGGTTGTAGTAGCAGTGTCATCTTTCTTTCTAGGGTAAACCGACTTCTGGAAAAGATTTTTTTTCTTCTTTTGAGTGCTTAGCTTCTTTGACAAGCAGTTTTGTGAGATAGGTTCTTCCTACTTATCTCTCTCCCTTCTACCTTGGTTACAGACTTATTGATGGCGCAAAATATGTTGATATGGAAAATGGGACAGGGGGGAAGAAATTCAAGTATATTTTTCCAATCTATGCTTTCCCTTTCAGACTTACAATGCTTTCCCTTTCAGACTTACAAGATGTGAAGTAGACAAGTATGCTCTTTTCTGGTTGGAGCACTTCTACTATGCTATGTAGTATTGGTGCTTTAATGTACAACTTAAAGTTGTATCATAACATTAAATGTATAAGTTTAGGTTGTACTATAAAGCAATTTGTACCATTATGTGAACTTTACAACTTGAAGTTGTACCATCACATAAAGGTACAAGTTCAAGTTGTATCATAAACGAATTTGTACAAAAAGTATAGGTACAATCTAAAGTTGTACCATAACGTAAATGTACAATTTTAAGTTGTACCATAAAGGCAAAATCCTATAGCACCAATACTATATAGCATTGTAAAATTTCTCTTCTGGTTGTCTTTTGGTCCAGCAGTGTTCTACATCTATTTTGGTAGCCTTGTACTAGCATCCTGCCATGAATGAATGCCAAGTAGTTCCGCTTCTTCAACTTTTAGTGTTCCAACAAATTGCTTATCAATAACCGAAGAATGAACTTTCTATGTGATCGTCACAAATTGAATTTGATTCCACAATTTGATATGAATTACTGGTGAATGGTGATGCTCTCGATTCTGAGACATAATCATTATGCAGGAGAGGTGACTGAGTAATAGGCTTTGATCGATGCCATAGTTGACAATTATGCAATTCGACCAATTTAGAACGTACGGAACAAAATTGGTCAACGTTTTTGGATAAACACAAGGACTCAGGATAGAAAAATTATCACACATTTGCACCAGTTGCCAGCTATCACACCGAAATCATAACTGTAAAATCGTGACCTTCACCTAGAGCTCTAAAAAGGAAAGAAACCAGGCCTAATGTTACACGGTTTTCTTCCACTCCAAGTATTTACAAAAATTACAAGGTTGTTGCACACGTTAATAAAGACAGCATGAACTTCACCACACAAGTCAGTCAGCGATATTTGTCCAACGTCGGGAGCTGGGTCAAGTGCTGCTATGGTCCTGGTTGGTATTGCTTCCCCTTCAGTTTCGCTTCCAGGTTGACCCGGGAGAAGATGTAATGTCAGGCGTGATGCAGAGTTTAGTAGTTGATTTTGTCTTTTAGCCCCAACTGCGGCAGTCATCAGAGCTCCTGAAGCTCACCCAAGTTGGGTCTGATTGGGTACTCCAACCCATGCAGTGCTGGCATATGCCTTAAATCGTCAGCCGTATATGCCGGGATTAGCCAGTATCTCTTGTCAGTGCCGAATACCTGATACAGGAAAAAACCCAGTTAATCTGGTGGATCTTGGTGCTCTAATGCAAATCAATGATCCCTGGACATCATCTTGAGCTAAACAAATTATCATAGTAGTAACCTGTGTCTTGTTTCGATAGTAACCTTGGTTCCAGAAGCCAACCAATGTACTGTGCTGAGATGTAGAAACATGAATATGCTAGGAATGCAAGTGATGCAGAGAAGTTAATGATGCAAAATGCAACGGCTGAAACAAGTTTGAGTACTAAATCTGGGTTCTAGATCCATGAAGAGTTCAAATCAAATACAGCCAAATGAGCAAATCTCTTCACTGCAATTATGCCTATGAGAATGTCATCGACTCATCGCCTGACAAGAACATGGATAAATTTGAAAATGCGAGGATATTGAAGTGCAAATTAGGGAATGAAGGATGTAAAGGTGACAAACAACAAACCTGTTCAAAGTTCCTCATTCGACCAAGGTCATAACGCCATCTGGGATCAGTTTTCTTTTCATAAGCCTGTAAAACGAATTAGAAAGAGAAAAATGACATTGGATATCAGTTTCAAATTTCAAGATAGATGTGGAAGTGAAATGCATATAAGAGAAGGCGCAAACTCATTCATTGAGAAAACAAGGAAAAAAACAGAAGGCATCACCTCGATGGTCGTGGTATTGGCTAACACCAATGATATGTGCAAAATAACAAAGCCCAGGAGACTCAATGCAAATGACAAATTCAAAACTGTTTCATAGCAAAAATGAATAACTGTTAAGAACTTAAGTACACAACATAAATTGGCCAAACAAAGAACGATAACATTTTTTTTATTGAGAACGATAACCCACTTCCACTCTTACCAAATGCAATAAAAGTAGCCACGAGATCCCCTACCGTTCCATCTAATTCACCATCCCCAAAAAACGCTATGAACAGATGCAGCAACGATACAGTGACAAGGGCTGTTTCAAGAAATGTGTAGAACTGCAACAGGAAATAGACATAACTAAAGGCCTCTTAAATTTCTTTCCACCCAAAAGGAATCTGAAGTATCAGGAAGTGAAATAACAAGGTAATGAAGCAATGTGACATGGAAAAGCCTTTACCAAAAAAAGAAGGAAATACTTGTAGTTCAGTGCCCCAACACAATTAACGACCCAAACACAGTGGTGGTCCATCTTTAATATGCATCTTCGGCCTACCAAAGAGATGAATAATGGATAGCTTTATTAGAAGGAAAAGAATTAAGGCTCATGCGGAAAGATTTAGGTTAGTGAAACGAAAAAGAAACTCACAAACCGAGCAGTGGTGGGAACGAGGTGGTTTAAACTGGTTGCACTTCCGACAGAATCGTATTTTCTGTGTTTCATCCCTGTTTATACCTAAACCAGCCGCTGTATCCACCAATGGATCCACAATACCACCCTCCTCCTCATCTGTTGTTGGCCTCCAAGTTTGCGGGACACCACCAGGATCCGTCAGAATAGTGGAAAAGTAGCTCCATACAAGCATCACCAACTACACAATGAAATCCAACTGACAGAGTCTCAGCGTGCTATGTAACATACTTCATTTGGCCCAAAATCCAACAGTATTATCAAAAGCTTGAAATTCTAACAAGAGGTGCTCTTGAGCATCCCTTGGTCATACTGCAACTTAATAGTTGAGAATGGAAGCCTTGGACCAGATTAGGGCTACTCTACACACTTCATGTTGCCATCAATGTATAAACAATACTAATGAGATGTCTCTGGCTTCGAAGAAGTGCTCATTATGTTGATCTGATTCAAACTAATTCACTCCATGCTACAACCACCAACGAGCCCAAGACTTTGCAGGGTCGGTTAAAAAACCTAAGGAAGCAGCAAATAAGAAAATACTCGACCGGAATAGAGCAATAGTTGGATAAGCCCTCACCACGATTTCCACTAGAGTTCTGGTTTCTTTGCTTAGATGGGAAATGTAGATCCCAATTCTACAGTCTATGAATTGAACTCTTTCACATTCATCACGAATAGATAACGATTCCAAACTTCTTGATCGAAGTCCACAGAACATCAGTTCCCTAACCTAACTTACCATCTCATCTCATCCTAGCTTGAACAGGTTCAAACCATCATTTAGGTATCAAAATCGATTCCAACAGCTAAGCTAATCCGAGACCACAGAGCAATTCGGAATCTCAGCAATAAAGAAAGAATAAAAAGGAAAGTGGGAACTGCTTACGAAAGCATGGAAGAGAAGCAACACGAGGAAAGCAACAAACGAATCGACCCCGCCATTGAACAGAGCTGGGCCGTAATTCTGAACGACGATAACATAATAGGTCAACCCGATGACGCCCACCACCAAGAAGATCATAATGGAACCGAGGGCGCGCAGGAAAGTGCAGAACTTGAACACGTTCAGCGCCATTATTGACCCCCCGCCCCCTCCTCCAGATGTCTGCTGCAACATTTTGCTTTTTCCTCCACCCGAATCGAGCTCTGGAAGAAACGAAAAGGGAAAGCAGATAATAGAAAGGAAGGAGCTTTCAGCAATCAACTGCGGAGCTCAGGAATGGGCCGTCGTCGTCGTCAGATTTCCGTGGGAAAATCTATTCGCCACGCAGCATTGGAACTTCCGGGGCGGTGGTGAAGTCCGGACCGGAAGTCATCTTGTTTCTTTTTTATTTTATTTTCTAGAGTTTCTAGCTCTGTTCCCTCTTTTTAATTTTTATGAGTTTTGTTTTCGCTGCTTTCACTTTTCTTGTTTTCTACTAAAAAAATGGATTTTTTTAGAAATACCATTATTAAACTATAAAATTTAAAAAATACAACCAATTTGAAAAAAATTTAGAAATACCACCATTTCATGAAAATCGCCACATGGGAAAGCAGTATTCATATGAAATGCTGGGTGAGGAGGCGGTTTTCGTTCCCGCCACAAAACCGCACGTAAAAAATGAGGTTGCATGGCTGACCTAACACAGATCGCCTGCTCAACCAGCAGTTTTAGGTCAGATTTAGGAACCGTCGCTATCCCCGGTGGTTTTAATTGCCAACACACAAACCACTTCCTTCCAGCGGTTTGTGTGTCGTCCCCATCTCCCCCACAACCACTTCCTTGCCAACACACAAACCACTTCCTTCCAGCGGTTTTACTTGCATGGAAGTCACAAGGAGAGTTGATCGTATGGTGTATCGATACCAAACAGACAAGGCGGGTCATTATGGCATGAAGAATTGCTCATAACCACTTAGGAGGAAGTTGATGCCATGCTCGAATTTTTGAATGCCAAAAACATTTTCAAAGCAGAGATTTTTGCTTACACCGAGGCGGTCGAAGGCGGTGGAGGTCATTCTGCAGATAGCCAAATATCTTATATCCACGGTGGGGGTGCATTATATAAAGATCATCCCTACCAAGGTTACCATGATCCTCATTCCTACCAGGAGTACCAAGAAAGAGGGGTAGGTCATCATCAATCATTTCCATCATATGAAGAAGAAGCCCAACGGTACCATGACAACCAACAAGAAGGCTACCAGTACCAACCCGAGTACGACTTCCATGTATGCAGTGGTAGTTATCACAATTACCATTACGGAGCTGATAAAGATGTCTTTCATGATCTGAATCAGATGGAAGATGCCCTGTCAGGTCTAGTTAGTGACCCTGAGGATGAAGAAGAGGAAGGCGATATCATTCTAAACAACTTCGACCCTCTTGAACGTGCTAATGATTCAGGCCCAGATTCAGACTCAGATGATGACGAGGTGTCTCGTGACCATGTACCTATCACGCACTATAATCACATTCCAAATGAAAATTGGTATGTTGATGCCGACATGAAGCCGCCAAAAGTGCCAATATGGGGTACACTCACTAGGTTTATGAAGGGCCAACAATTTGGTATGAATGAGGTGCGGCACGTTGTTAACACTGAAACAATGGCTCGAAGTTTTGAATGACACACAAGTCATTCTGACATGAGGAAACTCATAGTTAGATGCCAGAATCAACACCAGGGATGCAAGGCTAGGGTACAGACTACAAACCATTAAGAGTAAGAGAGTCGGCCATTGGGTCATATCCCGTGCGGTGAACACTCACACATGTGTGTCATCCATAATATCCCAAGGCCATCGACAGTTGAAATCCATGGTGGTTGTCTCGGCTATCAAGCATCTAATTGAGTAACAGCCTAACTTGAAAGTGAAAGCCATCATCGCCGACATTTCTAGTCGTTATGGATATATTATTAACTATAAGAAGGCGTGGCATGGAAAACAGAAATTCGTGGCCGCCGAGTTTGGCGAATGGGAAGAATCATATGTGTACCTTCCCAAATTTTATTTTGGCATTGGAGGCATCTAACCCTGTCACTCTTTTCTCCCACCGCTACCAACATGAAGAAATCCAGTCGTCGAGCTCGGTAACAACGACTTTTTGATCATTCAAGTCATCTATTGATGGTTTTCCCTTTTGTGTTCCTGTGATGCAAGTGGATGGCACATTCCTTACTGGCAAGTACAAGGGCACTCTTGATAAAGCACCAGGGGGTGCTTTGTTTTTAATCAGAATACACAGACAAGAACACTAGAACGATAGATGATGGAAAGGTAGAATTCTCGCCACAATCAAGGTGATTACTCGATTGATAAGAGAACTTGCTAAACAATTCTTGAATCCTCCACAGAATAGCTTGAACAAGGGTCTTGAAATTAGCTACGAAATCCACTCAAGCTAAAGACAATAGGTAAATTCTCGAGACACACTCAAGAACTCAAAACACTTACGTATGAGCAATTTTCATTCAACAATAATCTTCTCTGCTTTACAACGAAAACTAGAAAGGTATTTAAAGGAAAATAAACCTAATACAAAAATAATAGAACTAGGAAACAATTAAGGTAAAAATCTACTATAAAAAGGACACACAAATACGGGTTTAAACTTCCTTTCTTGAATCACAAGTAAGCTGCCAACAAACAGTCCAAAAGCAGCTATCGTACTAACTTCACGCCTTTCGTTTGAGGCCTTCCAGAACTCCGATCTTTCATCCAATTCCTTCCGTTGGTAGATAAACATATCCATTTTCATGTTGTGGAAGCCTCTGGACTCGAATCAACTCCATACTCCTCGAATTGAGCTCCAAAGTAGGCTTCACAAACACGTTTCCAGACACCATTTTCTGGCAGTTTTCCAGTTTTGAGGTAGCAACTTTGAGGCCTTGGAAAAAAAATCTTAATGACTTCTTCTGAATCCAAAAAGTATACCATTGGAAATATGACAACTTTATCTTTAAAACAAGCACCTAACCTTGAATTTTCACCAAGCCAATTGAGAGAACCATGCCTCCAAAGTAGGTACCATGAACTCGGAAAATGACTTGGCCAAATTCTTGCCCTTCTTCTTCTTCCCAATTTTGATAGCTTCTTCAGCAAGTAATAAAAACGTGTAGAGTTGGCCATTTGGAATAATATCAACTCTCCTTATTGCCAGTGGAGCAGATGCAAATTAAAGTGTCTTTCCTTTAGCCTTCGTCATTGTTAAGGGAGAAAATACAAAAGGTTATGGATGGTTCTTCCGACAAATTCACCTCCATGTCACCAGAAGGACGAACCTGTAAAACCCTGGTATTTTAGATTTAGGTTCGACTTTAATACATGATCGGTTGGGTTGACGGTTAAGTACTAAGAGTTACAAACGCGGATTAGGAATAATAATTATAGCTATTATTATTATTATTATTATTATTATTATTACTTAAAAAAAACATATATAAGTGCGCCCACAGAGGGCGGCGGCCCTCCACCCTCAAAATCAAATAATTCCCAAACCCTTCCCCATAAACCCCCCGCCCAAATAATCCCCCACCCGCCACCATTCTTAATCCCAAACCCCCCGCCCTCATTAAATCCCAAACGCCGCCAAGCAGCAGCGCTGCGAACGAGAAGGAAAAGAAGGAGCGTGCCGCCGCCTTCCTGTTCCTGACCCCGACCCCTTTCGTTCTAGGTAAGGATCACGAAACCATTCGCGATTTCTAAACTCGATATATCGATAGTCTAATCCGAAGCTCGTATTTTATTAGCGCTAACGTTTGAGGGTTCGATCAACGAGGAGATCAACGTCCCAGGTCATCCAACCTAGGCCTAGGCACGTTCTAGAGGTAAGAGAACTCGATCCCTTTGAGTTAGGTCGATCGATTTGGTGATTTTTCGTGAGGGTAGAATTTTGGAATTTTAGCAACAGGCTTTGCAGGCTTTTAGTGATAGATTTTGATAGGTCACTAAAGCTGCTGGGAATTTCCAGAAACGTATTTTTAGATGTTTTAAATTGTTTTGATCCTCTATGAAGGTTTTTTTCTGAATTTAACAATTTTATAAATTGTGTGACGTCTAGGAGATGATTGTAATTTAATTTGGGGATTTGTGAAGATGTATTTCTATTTTTAGAAATTATTCTAATATTCGTTTTAATTAAATAAAAATCTTTCCGAGGGATTTTTAAGGGTTTGACAAATTTCTAGGGTATAGGTACTCATGATTGACATGGGAAAATTATTATCCAAAATTATAAGAAGGTTCAAGTTAGGTGAAAAATTCGTACAAGATAAAAATAATTAAGAAAAATGGTCGTTTTTGAAGGGATTAATTCTAGAAATTTTTAATGGGGGTTAAGAGACCTTTGGAGTGAGGTTTGAGGATGGGACTTTGAGTATAGGGTGTCTGGGTAAATAAAAAGGAGGCTTTAAAATCGAGAAAGGTTGTCTTAGAGTATGAACTTCTTATTAATAGGTGTCCTGAGATAATCCGACTAAGGAGGGAAAGAAGGCGAGAAATTTAGCAGCCGATCGAACTTCGTAGTCTCGCGTGATGAAAAGGTTCACACCGATTAGGAGGAGGGGAAGAGTCGCGTCTATTAGATGCGGAAGGAAGGCCGAGAACTCGACATCGGTGATCGCAACTAGCGGGGGTAAAGTGATGGAGAGGCCCCGACCCTATCCTCCTAGACGACCCGGGGTGTCGGCAGTTCGAAGTTGGCCGCTGAATTGTGGCCCGAGGAGGGACCTTGAAGGGAATGGCGGCAGAGCTCCAATGGTTAGGGTCGTTGAAGAGGAAGATGATGAACCGATAGAGGAGGAGCCAAAAGAGGAAAAACGCGCGGGGCTTGAGGGTGAGAATGCAGACGTTGATGCGACTAAAGAGGAGAGTGTAAAGGGGGTAAAATATCTGTCGTGGGTCTTTTAGTTTTCGCTTTTCGTTCAAGTTATTATTTAGTTAATTTTTTTCTAGTATGTGCTATATGTGTGTGAGGCATCCCACCGCCTGGGAGGGACCTTGAAGGGAATGGCGGCGGAGCTCCAATGGTTAGGGTTGTTGAAGAGGAAGACGATGAACCGATAGAGGAGGAGCCAAAAGAGGAAAAACGCGCGAGGCTTGAGCGTGAGAATGCAGACATTGATGTGACTAAAGAGGTGAGTGAAAAGGGGGTAAAATCTCTGTCGTGGGTCTTTTAGTTTTCGCTTTTCGTTCAAGTTATTATTTAGTTAATTTTTTTCTAGTATGTGCGATATGTGTGTGAGGCATCCCACCGCCAGTAAGGGTGGAGGTACGCGTTGTGCTATGTATGAATGTATGTGATGATGTATGGTTGATGGTATGAGGAACCCCCGGGCGGTTGGGTCACTACTGGACGGCGAGACGTAACGCAGTAGTTGACGGGCATGGACTGGACGGCGAGACGTAACGCAGTGCCATTGCCGAGTTTGGGTATGCAACCGGACAGCGAGACGTAACGCGGTTGGCATACTAGGGTAGAACACCGGAAGGCGAGACGTAACGCGGTGGTCCTAGATTTTTGTGTTGAGATAAGGATAGAAGTCGAGAACTTTTATGAGTTAATGTTGAGATGAGTTGATAAGAATGGTTATTTAAGAGCAGAAAGCGAGAACGACTTTCATGCTAGGAAGGCATGCTATTTCCCCTAATAATGTGTTTAGTAAGGAGTTTGCCTAGGGCAAAGACCTTAGGAAGTAACGACGAGACTGACCCCTTCTCACTCACCAGGTTGAGGATAGTCTAGCAGAAGTGGATCACGAGAAGAAGTAGGGCGAGGCGAGCAGCAGCACCAGCGTCGACGGGATATCGGAAAGCTCGTGAGGAGTCAAGTTAGATTAGTTAATTATTCTGTTTCATGGTTATTAGTATAAACTGGAGATTCTGTGTTAAGTCGTTTTAAGTGTTTGAGATTGAGAATTTTGCCCAAGTGTTAGGGCTTTTCGTGAAAAATTCTTGAATAATGTCAGTTTGTTTATTTTAAAATGTGGTTTGGGTTGCTCTGGAGTAACCGGTTTTCGGTTTGAGTTGTGGTTTGGTTTTCAAAAAGGATCGGGTCGTGTCAGAACCTGACAATCATCTCTGATTGCCACGTCGGGATCAGAGCTTCCATCTTAGACTTGGATCCAGCTTGTAAGTGGTCCCAGAGGTGGTGCATACGACATTTCAAGAGAAATTAGAACCATCATTTCAAGCAGAGGAAGCTTGCTGATAATATCTGGTGGACTGGTAAACGTTCTATTTCGTTGGAGAGTTTATTATGTTAATTGTTATATCGTATTGATGATTTCCAAAAGATGATAGGAAATACAATGCAACACTTACTTAGACTCTCTATAAAGAGATGTAGGTATAAGAAAATGGGGTCTTAAGCGATTTTCGTGATACTCCCATTTTCTGGGAAAATCGGGTCTTAAGCGATTCTCGGATACCCCTTTTCTGTCAAAAAGGTTGTTTTTCTAAGGAGATGCATACCTCTCTTAAGAGTCTAACTAGTGTACTTGTATTGCTTTAAATTATTGGAAACGGGCTATACAAATTATTGTGTCGGGGTAGAATGATTTTACACTAACTTACGCTTTGTATATAACTCAGGTATTGCCTACCAAGAGAAGAAATTCAAGGAGAAGCTGCAGAAGATCCGTGAGCTATGCCCTGAAGGTGCGTAGTGGCTGGATGGACATGACCTAACCATGTGGACTCTTCATAAGAACGGAGGTACCGGGTGGGGTATTGCCACAACAAACTCAAGTGAGAGTATCAACTCCGTCTACAAGGCTGTTCGTGCCCTGCCAATCTCTGCCATTGTTGAGATGACATTCTGGAAAACGAACCAATGGTTCGTCAATCGAGTACACTGGGAAAGGACGAAGGAGGCACAAGGTAAGGTCCATTCTGATAAAGCCACATAAATAATGGAAATATACAAGGAGAAGAGCAGTCGGCACATGCTACCGTTATGGATCGAGATGCTAGCGAGTATTCAGTCGAGACCGGGCACTGGGCGAATGGTAGACGTGGGGGGCATCTCCATGAAGTCAATGTCAACTTTAGGACAAAAAAAGGAGAGTTCTCCTGCCAGAATTATCAGGGGAGAGGGTTACCTTGTTGTCATGCAATGGCCGTAATCAAGTACAAGAGCAAAGACCCCCTTCAATTCATTAGTCCTTTCTTCTACATCGACTCACTCAAAAGATGCCATGAAAGGAGTTTTCGAGCATTACCGGATGAAGCTTACTGGCTAGTGTATGAAGGAAATA